TGGGTGTATAATTCAATCAATTGACCGCTTTGACAGTAGCTTTTAACCAATTCTTTCATGCTTGAGAAGCGTTTTTCTTCCGCCGACGTCCATTCCATCTTATTTTCTTTTATAATAATTATAATAATAATTAATAATTATAAAAAAGAAAATGAGATGGAATGGACATCGGCGGAAGAAAAATGCTTCTCAAACATGAAAGAATTGGTTAAAAGCTACTGTCAGAGCGGTCAATTGATTGAATTATACACCCAATTATTACCTTGCTCTGTGGCTTGAACATTTTTATTTTCCAGTACCTATATAAATGCAAACTGCTAGATAGTTGCTCGAAGGCAAAAAAGAGTCTGTACATGTATGTTGTGTCACACAACATAAAAACTTCTCAAAATCTTTTTGATCTGATTCAAATATAACAATTTGGCTTGAAAGTCATTTTATTTGCTGTCAAAACAAGGGGTTCAGCCAATTGTTTATATCTAAAGTAGCCACATGCAGTCCTCAACTGCCTATTGTATATATTTTTAAACTTGGTCATATCTCATTGTTGCATTTTGCAGACTGAACGAAACTTCATTATGCAAGTTGTTTGTGAAGCTACACAAAGCACAGAAACTCAGGTGAGTGACGAGATGCTGTTTCCTACTCACATGATTTGATATGTTTTCCTTTCTCAGGGTGCGGGAGGGAGGCAGTAGCCTCATGGTTAGTGCGCTTGACTCCAGAGCAAGTGGTCCAGGTTTGACCCCTGGCTGGGGATATTGTGTTGTGTTCTTGGGCAAGACACTACTCTCACAGTGGCTTTCTCCACCCAGGTGTATAAATGGGTACCGGCAAATTTAATACTGGGGGTAACCCTGAGATGGACTTGCATTCCATCCAGGGGGGAGTAAAACTACTCCTTGTCTCTTTGTGCTACTGAAACCAGGATTAGCTCCGGTCTGATAAGCCACTTGGCTCATATGCAGACTTTATCTATCTCAGGGCAAGTGATAATAACAATAAACATATTAACCTTGTTTTCTTGGTTTACACTATGGATCCTCGTATTTTCCTGTCAATTTGTTGCACCCAGTCTTAATCTTATGGACCAGACCTCAGACTTGATTACAGCTATACCCTAAAATTCCACTGAGAAAACAGGGCTGTCATTAAGTTTTGATTCACCTGTAGCCTTGAGCTTCACATACATAGCAAACTTGTTTCTTTTTGGGTGATTTGTATCAAATTCACCCATAACATCAAGGCGGTTAGGGGCCCATCAAACGTACTTAGCCTTAGCAGCTGTTATGGGTTACAACCCTTATTGACAGCCCTGAAAAAAAGCTCTGTTTGTCAAGGCCCCTTTAATATCAACACCCTTTTAATACAGCCAGATGGCTTTCACAGATTTTTAATCTTTTCTTCCAAACCAGAACATAGGCACTTAGTATTTCTTCTTTTCCCTTTTGGTAAACAGCTCAAAGTTTCAGCCTTGCAGAACCTTGTGAAGATAATGTCTCTCTATTATCAGCACATGGAAGAATACATGGGGAGAGCACTGTTTCCTGTAAGTCTACCAGGCTTGAGTGTGTTAATGTGGTAATGCAGGATCAATCAGCTAGGAAATATGAGGGCTGACAACAATTTGCAGAACTGTGATTGGACATTTGTTGGTTTTGTCTAAAACCTCTTTTACCCTCTAAGCAGACTAAACTTGGAGGAGAATCTAGTTTTTGTTATCCCACAAGATTTGTAAGTCGAGTGAGGGGACTCTTCCCCTCAGCTAAACATTTTAGACACAGTAATAAAGTTTTTATTTATTTATTATTCATTATAAAGGTTGGAACTAACTGCTTGATGATTCCTAATAAGCTTTTTATGATCTATCAAAATTCTAACTTGGCACCAAGGTTACGGGAGAATAAAACGAAAGAAATCACATCAAGGTTAAGGAATGGATAAAGGATTTCTTTTGTTTTATTCCCCAAAGCCTCAGCACAAAATTTAAAATTTTACAAATTTGAATTGGCCTATTGATCTAAGCTTTAAGATGGCGATGGTGCAATTGAGGCAAGAACTCTTGCCACTGGCCCATTATGATGTGTTCTTTGGCAAAACACTTTTCTCTCACAGTGCCTCTCTCCACCCAGAACCCAGCTGTTCAAAACATTATTAAGTAGGATTTAAGACTTTTCACTGAGATTTTGTGCTTTTATCTTCTGTCCTCCACTTTTGATGTCAACTAAAATCCAAAAAAGATTTTTCCAGAACATTTGAAAAACAATTAAAACATTGATGAAGTTCTGGATGGGTGTTAACTGTTTTTTTTTAAAAACCCTGCCCAGGTGTGAAAACAAACTTGTCATGGACTAATGCCTTTTTTTCCTCTTGTAGATTTCCATTGCTGCAATCAAATCTGATATTGATGAAGTTGCTCTTCAAGGTATTGAGTTCTGGTCTTCAGTGTGTGACGAGGAAATGGATTTAGCAATTGAAGCTGTGGAGGCATGTGGTTTGCATCTTCAATTTTTAGATCACTGAAGTACAATTGAATAGGCACCACTCTTTGCTCACTCAGTTTTGTACTATTTAAAACCAAACAATAATATTCAAACAGCATGAAGTCTATGCTGGAGAAATGTTGGTCAATAATTTGTACTGAATGCAAACAGATAACCAAGATGGATAGCTGAAATAATTTTACACCATGCCTTAGAAAATACAGCCAATCCAAATACAGGAAAGCCGTTGTATATTTGACAGTATTACAGCCAACTTTACTGTCATGCACCGTGTCTATGTCACATTGATTGTGTGGCCCACTGTATTTTCTATGACCTCGTGTAAAATAGTTATGCAACGCTCTTTTGTGGTATACCATGCGATGTCCCACTTGTCACTTCTATTTTCTTGGAATGCACACTTTCCTAAAGGCTTGCATGTATACTTGGAAAATGCAACTAACTTGTGGAATATTGTATGATATACCACTCAAAAGCATTGCATAACTTGTATGTACTGGAGAAATAATTACAGTTGAATTTGATTTTCACTGTAATTGTTATCATGCAAAATAGTTCCCCCCCTGTTTACACAACACTAGCTACCAAATTAGTAGTTCCTGTTTGGAAAATGTAGTCACTTCAAGGATTTCACTCCCTGCATGTGGCACACAAAATGGTCTCAGACTGGAGTGCTTCTTTAAGCAAAAACCAATCTCAAATAGAAAATTTCCAGGTTGACACTTTGGCTTATACTTCTCCTCTCCCTCTAAAATTTTGTGGATGGTTTCACTTTCAGTTTCTAGAATTGTAGTTATAGTGTAATTTTAAGTTGTATTGTATGTAGGTCTGCACAAATGAAGAGCTACTCTGTGGATGTTTTGTGAATAAACCATTATTATCATTGCCACTATCACTACAGTATTGTGAAAAAGTAATGCAAACGAACTTCGGCGAAATTCGCGCTTTTCGTG